CTCTGGCAAATTCAAGGTTGCATATTTTCAATGCTCCTCCAAGTTGACTTAGGCATCCAAGTTGGTCCAAGTTTGCCCTACTCACAACAAATAATGGTAAGGTTTGAAGGGAAGTTAAATGCCCAATCTCTCTTGGCATCAGCTTTTCACTGTCAAAATAAACATGTCTTAAGCTAATCAGATTTCTAATCTCATCAGATATCTGTAGATGAAAGCACCCCATAAGTCTAAAAGTTTGCAATTTGTAGAGTTTGAAAAAGGATGTTGGTAGTGTTTTTATTTTGCTTCTTGAGATGTCAAGGTATTTCAAATGCTTCAATTTGCCAAGAATAATGGGCAATTGTTCTCCCTTAGCTCCCACTATTTTTAAAGCTCGCAAGCTTTTGAGATCAGATGCACTGGAAATGAAAACATCAACCTCTTCCAAGAACAAAGAATGCAATCTTTGAGCAACAGCTCTAGGAATGATTGGACGCTCGTTCTTGTCATGCTTAACTCTTAAATGTCGAATTTTAGCATCCTGGTCAACTATGCAACCAGTCTCCCATATAAAAGTATCACCTTTTGAAACAGACAGTGCCAAATCATGCACTGCGTCATGCATCTTGCAAGATCTGATATTCCCAAATTTGTCCCTGTACACATCTTTAAATAAGGAGTTAGATAACAAATCACTAAAGTAATCATTACCAACATCCTCCATTGTTGCAGAGCTTTCGTTAGGTTGGTAAAGAAACCCCTGAGCCATCCAGAGTTGAACTAAATCATCTTTTTCAATGACAAAATCCTTTGGAAAAATTGAACAGTAAGAAAAGCATTTTTTCAAGGGAGAAGTCAAATGATTGAAACTTATTTTCAAAATAGATAAAATCTTATCTCCATCTCGTGAATTCAAATTCCATGCTTTATCATCTCTGATATCCTTCCATTTATCTACACTAGTTTGACGGCTCAATGTTCCTCCGATTACACTAGCAACTAATGGCAAACCTCTACATTTTTTGGCAATATCCTGTCCAATAGCTTCCAAATCAGGAGTCATTGAAGTTTCTGTGGATGATCTAAGAAATTTCTCTTTTATTATCAACCAGCATGCATCATCTGATAACCTCTCCATGTCATAGCGTTGTATAGGAATCGACTCCATTGTAGATGCTACCTTTCCACTACGAGTTGTTATGACAATAGAGCTGCCAGTAGTCTTCAGAATTTTTAACAAACAAGAGCTGAAGTGTTCCCCCTTGTCAGGATTTTCATTCCATACGTCATCAAGAATGAGAAGAAAAGTTTTATTCTCTAATTTTTCTGCAAGATCTTCAAGCAATGCATTAATACTATTCCTTGTAGCAGCACTCCAGCCAAAATGCTCTGACATCTCTCCCAAAATGATTTGATCATTGAAGTCCTCGGATACACACACCCAAGCGGCTAGATCATAAAGCTTTTCTTCCTTTGCTTTCATGTATACTAATTTTGCTATTGTTGTCTTTCCAATCCCAGCCATACCTACAATAGAAATGCCAGAGATGGGATGTTGACTCCTCCTCAAGTCACGCAACAAGCCGAGAATTCTTGAGACATCGTCTTCTCTTTCAAATACTGTGGAATTATCAAGAAAAGAATCTGTCTTTGGATGTTGCTTAGGACAAGATTGGCCTCTCAATGTGACCACCAGGTTGATCATACTGGCCCAGTCTTTCAAGTCATTCAACTGCTTAATAATGTTGTTGATTTTGGTAGCCATACGATTACGAAACGAGGGAGAAAAGTAGACAGACTCAGGATTCGAGTACCTATGACTCTTAACTTTGTTCTTAAGAATCTTGTACTCACACTCACCCAATGCATCCACTGCCTCATACGCTACGTCTTTCAGCTTCTGTAGCCAATGCTTTATAGCTGGGTCACTTTCTTGCCTTTCCTCTGCGTGTTGGATGACAGATTGAATGAGAATGAGAGAATCGCGAAGCTTATCAAGCTCCTTTTCCAAACCCACCGCAATTCCGATTCGTTTTTTAAGAAATGAAACTGTTTTGGAAACTGCCTCCTCAATGACAGGGCTGAGGATGGTGAGGGCGATTTCAGCCATTATGTCTGGACACAGGGGGAAGGATTGCAAACACAATTGAATTCTGAGACACAGACAAACATGCAAAATAATGTTACATGAGCAGATATGTATACGGTGAAAATGAAATGTAGAAGAAGATTCTGCAGGAATTTCATTTGAGAAACTTACAGAAGAAATATTTTGATATTTTGTACTTTTTCACTGATTTCTCCTTTCCAAATCTAATTAAGCAAAGGTACACCTTGTAAATTCGATATCAATTTAATAAGGTGGAGTTCCAGAACAACTGAAAAAGAAATGAACAAATTATAATTAAATAGAAACCAAAGAAATTGAATGCTTTTGATTAATAAATATCGACTTAATGTTGTACTTTGTGTTGAGTGATAAAATCTCATGTTGAGTGATAAAATCTCATGTTGAGTATAAAAATAAAAAACTTGTAGATAAATACAAGAAAGGTCACTCCACCTATAACCAATTGATTTTAAGTTAGATGCAAGTTTTATATTGAGTTCACATGTACAACTTTCACACTTTGAAACAATAGAAGAACATGGAGTATATTTTTATATATCATATTGACTAATGGAAAGAGGAAAAAAATGGATTGCAGAAGCAATAAAAGAAATCAGCATCTCATGCTTTCAACCATTTTGATACCACATTAAAGAAATTAAAGCACGGAAAATAAAAAGAAATATAATGTAAAATTTAAAATTTACTCTCATAATTATATCAGTTATATCTCTTAATAATATGACTTACCTCTTATGATATCTCTATCATGATAGAAATTTGTGTAATTGTGTATAATTTTGATTTGTGTATAAATATATAGACTTCCAAAAACAATTGAAGTCTCAACTTACATTTGAAATTGAAATCCCATCTTATTAAATGTTAATATCTAAATTTGAAAACTTATTATATATTCTAATATATCAACATTTAATAAAATAATTTTTTAAATTTTAAATTGAGTTTTAATTATATAAAATAACGTAGTTTAAGGTTGGACTTCAATTATTTTTTAGATTCGGAACTAATATGTACTTTTCCCACATATATAAATGAAGTTAGTGCATATTAGTCTCAACTCCAAAAAAAATTAGAGTCTCAACATATATTTAGAAACTAAAATAGGTTGGAACTCTAATTTATTTTATGAGTCGAGACTGATATGCATTTTTTCTATACGGAGAAAAATATATAGCAATCTTGACTCTTAAAATAAATTAGAATAAATTAGAATCTCACATATTTTATTTAATTAAAACTTAATTCAAAATTTAGAAATTCACTTTCTTAGATGTTAATGTATAAATTTGGAAACTGACTACATTTTAATATAAAATCAGGTTTCAAAACTATATATTAATATTTAATAGAGTGGATTTTTTAATATGAATTGATATTTCGATTTTTCAAATATAGGCTGAAACTATTTTTTTTTTAAGTCAAAATTGATATGTATTATCCTATATTCCTATATATATATATGAGTAAGTATCTATTTATATATAAATTTTACATACTACATTTACACACTTTCAATGATTGAGATTTATTTACAACTTTTTAATAAAAAAGATAATTATTTTTAATAAATATAATAAAAAATGATAAATCTCAACCATTGAAAAGTAGAGAAATAAATAGTCAATATTTTATATAAGTGTAATGTATAAGATTTGTGTATAAATAGATCCTTACTATATATATTAGTGCTAAACCCCCTAATATTTAGAAGTTACATTGGGTCTCAAGGCACTTCTTTTTTTATTCACAATACTCGAACTAAAGATTTTTTTATAAAAAATCAAGTTTCGTTTACTCAAATTAATATCTTATGTATAAATATTTATATATATATATTACTCAAATATTTAAGCATTTATGATATCTATATATTATATGATTTTTTTTTAATTCTATAGAAAAACATTTGAAACTATAGTGTGTGATGTTAAATACACGTATGTGGTCATCATAACACTCAAACATTGACTGTTAGTAAATTATTTTACAGGCATGTTTGGTATAACAGTTAAAATTCAGCGGATAGCGGATAGCGGATAGCAGGTAGCGGGTAGCGGATAGCGGTAGTGGGTTACGGGTGGCAATTAGCGGATAGTGGATGGCGGATAACGGAAAGTGAATAGCGGATGGTAAATAGCGGATGGTAAATAGCGGATTCAATAAATATAACTGTTTCGCTATACAATGGTTAGCGATTGTTGTTTAACATTAAATGACTAATAAGAACATGTTTAAAAACAAATAAGTATTTTTTTTAAAATATTTTTATTTTTTATTATTAAAATTATTAATTTTATTAATAAAATTAATTATAATAATGTAATTACAT